AATAAAGTAAACGAAAATATGTCTCTTTATCAAAAGACTACACTTTAAAAACAAAGTGGTGATGCCTCTTCAGCTCTTGCCTAGCATCCATTACATTTAGCACTCGATTCTATCTCCTCTCTCATACTTGGGAGAGTAGGCAGACTGGAAGTTATTAGGAAGGGAGAGTAAATGTGTTATCTCCACATGTCAAAAAATCCATAATGTCTATTTGTCATGCATGATTGTTTAGAATTAAAACAGAACATTAAGGGGATAGTCACAAATAATTTACTTTCTTCAGCCTAGTGCTGCCAGCGGGGAGAGACAGACTGTGCCAGGCACAGGAGAACAGGCACTGTGAGGCTAAAGGAATGGCCCCCCCTCCCTGCCAATTAGCCAGGGCACTCACAGGCTCCTGGGGATAAAGTTAGCTTCTGTGAAGACCCACAGAAACAATTAGAAGAATTAGTCTAACAGCTACACATGTATTGCACATTTATCTCAATTTCGCTTTGAAAATAGTGCAGATTCCTGGCTTTCTTCGAGCTCAGACCTGTCAAACCAATGTGCACTGACAGCTGGGCACCTCTCTGATGCTATTGGAAATGGGAGTCATGCATTCAATATCTGAAGTCTAAAATCTTGTTTCTTTCACATAAGCTACAGTTTTCAGTACCAAATCACACAAATGTGAAAAAAAACCTCTTTTTCTTAAAATAAGCTTTCTGAAAACTTAATCTTTACCTGATTTAAGATTTGTGAAAAGATGCCCTTCCCAAATCTGCAATTACAGAGCCAACAGGAATAGTGGCATCCCCCACAAAAATGACAAACCACCACCCTCCCTCCAATTCCAAGACAGAAATAGAGACTTGGTGTCAAATCATGTAGCACTGCATTTCATTCTGACAACAAAACAGAGTTCTTCTATGTCTCCTAAAAGCTGTCAATTCTTCATCCAGGTAAAAGTTCCTGACATTCTTGATTTGCCATCTTACCCATCCACTTAAAGCCTACATACACTATGGAACATCAGAGAGGAAAAAAAAGTAAGACTTGGAAAGGTGCAAAATATAGTGAAGACCTGTCAGAAGGAGAAAGAGTATGCAGTAAAGTACAAATAAAGCCAAAAAAGGAAGAAGATTCAGACTGTGATTGCAAAGCACTAGACAAGCACAGGTTTTTATGTAGCACCATTAATCCTGGCAACACTAAACCACATAAAAACCCCATAGCTTAAGACAAATACAATGACCTTATTCAGCACTTATTTGCATGAATGGGCCCAGTGCTAAGGGCTATACTCTTGGATGCTCCTTTGTGGCTTGCTTAAAACACCTGATGGAAAGAAAACCTGAAAATCTGCACTTCTGTCGGTAAAATATTCATTAATTAGCCATATTTACATTCTCGGGACTAAATCTTACAGCTGAATCACATTCCATTACCTAAGTTGCTCAGATTTCTAAGCTACATTGAAAATCAACCACACAAACTCCTACAGCCTAAATATAAAGCCTGTAGGTAGCCAAGAGTCCTCATAAATCACTGCTTGGATTATTTTCAGTAAAAGGTGAGAAGTGATACTGAGAGTCTTAAACATTGCAACTTAGAGTGGTCTTGGAAATTTCATCCCAGCCCTCTCTAAACTTAATGGGAAGTAAAAATGAAAACTCATCACACATATCCATATCAGATTATTAATATCATTTAACCAGTGACATATGGAAAGAACTTTGGTAGGAGAAGGACAAGTTAGTGTTTGGATAAATTAGATATTTTCAATTCATCTGTACCCAATAACACACTCAGAAGACTGACTGGCTCTTGCCATTCTTGCCATTTCAGCCACTGTCTTAACACCACTCACGGTTCAGGGACTAAACAAGAATGGGGTTGGTTGGTTCCAGGGCACAACAAAAGCAGTGGCTTGTAATTCCTCAACAACTTAAATTTCCATTTTTATTTTTTTTTTTGAAGAATACTGAAATAGACTGCAAATGTCAGAAGATAATGAAGAACTTATATAGATTCAGCTAGAACAAACAACATAAACCCAATCTCACCTCCTCCTCAGATAGCATAAGAGGTGTTTTAATAAGGCTTTCACTACTTTCACATTTCACAGGTGAACTAAGGAACCAAGGACAACTAAAAGTACTGCTGAATATAAAGTACAGCTGATTAAAAAACAGCTAAGAGTTCATGAACAACAGTGGGTGAATGTATTAACTGAGACTTCGCAGGCGTCTGTTTTGGGCATCATTCCATGTCTTAATTAGTGACGTGGATGAAAAATGAAGACTACATTTACTAAATTCACAAAGCAAATAACCCATAAGGATCTAGAAATGCAGTGCAAGCCTGGAATTCAAAATTGCACTGAAACTTAGAGATGGTAGAAGCAATGTGTTAAAAAAGTAAATACATTTTTGTGCATGGAACCTGTAAAATGAAAAATAGAGGCCGAGGAATGCCAAGCTAGCCAGCAGTACCATAAAAATGTAGATCACCACAATTCAAGCAGGTATCAAAGACTGAATATTTGCCAGGAAAAAGGCAAATATCACACCCCTAAAAATTCACGGTATTGTCAAAGATCCAGGGAACTTCTTTTTGCCATAGTGGTAAGGTCTTAGATGAGGTACCTCACCTAGTTTAAAACACTGAAATTGTTTAGGGTTGTGAACCTACTGGAGAACATGCAGAGCAATAATTTTTCAACCTTGAGACAGATCCTGTTACGTATCCACTACTAAAATACACCTGCACTGCACACGTCCATGGAAAAATTAACTCCGTTTATGTCTAATCTCTTCTAGGGATTCCTTATCATCTTAATCATCCTGTGGATTCCCAACCCCTACAGACTTAAAGGAGAATAGATTCTTTTCTGTGTCCACTGTCTGTAACAGGATTTAGCTCTTTAATTGCAATGACATTTAGATTAGGCATCAGGGAAACTTTGACTAAGTGTATTTAAGCAATGGAACACAAAACCCAGTGTGGTTGTGCAGCTCCTCCAGCTCCAGACATTTCTAAGAACTATATGAGCATCTGCCAGGGACAATGCAGCTGATTCTTCATTTGCATTGTAATGACCTCTCAAGATCACTTTTGACTTTCTCTCTGACAGCTTGCAAACACCAAAGCTACAATGAGAGTTGTATTTCAAGTACCACCACACATTTATGGAAAAATAAGAAAAAACCCAAAATATTCAGAAATCCCACCACGTTCAAAGTTAGCAAATGATTCAAAGCACTGTCAGATTTACCTGATAAGACCAAAATAAAGTACAAATGACAACTTATCACATGAATTTAAATTGAATTAAAATTTAATGGAAAATTAACTTTGATCATTTTCTATTATTCTGAATATAAAAATAAAACAGATTCACCTGCAATAATATTTTCCCCATATGCTAAAAACGTTAAGAAAAGAAGAAACTGCAGAAACGAAAGATGTAGGAAGCTTATCCAAGGGAAAAACAGAAGTAGAAGTCATGTTAATAAAACCAAATACGTATAAGATTCTGGTTTTAATATCTATATGTAAAACTTAATGTTAAAAGGTATTAGATAGAAACAATTATAAGCATAGAGGTATAAAAAGGATTTTCTTCACTGAGAAACCAAACCACAGAAATTACACTCATTACCTCAAAGCAAACCAGAATTTTATGCAAAGTTAACACAAACCCATTTTCCAATACAAAACATTAACTTAATAAAAGAGCAACATGAAAATTAATTTGTTTCCAAACTAATGTCAAGTTATTATATTTAAATACAGAACATACAGAGTTACTTGAACAATAATAGTAACATTAATACAATGTTTTACTGTCTAGACTGGCAATAATGTGCAGGCCATAACTTGAACTTAAAGAGGTATAGTGGTTTTTGGGAGAAGCTCACCCATCCAGCTACAAATGGGGCTTTGTTTGCCACATCTGTGTTGCAGGGAAGTAGTAAACGCTGCGAGAATGATCCTTTCTTAATAGGGGAAGCATTGCCACATGGTGCTGCCCATTCACACTTCCCAAACTGCTAGTTAAAAGGCTAAAAACCAAGATGTCAAACTCATGTGCTAGGTTTGATCCTCCAGAAGAAAGACATTCCTAAAAATATCGGTTCAAAGCAAATACTCTACTTAGAGTAAAATTAAGAAAGATTCCTCTTTGAGAAAATAAATATAAATTAATTTCTTAGAGTTATAAACATATTAGTTATTTAAATCTTTATCAACAGACACTGAATGTAATCAAATGCTAATTATACTTTTCAAACAGTCAAACTTCCTGTACATTCAAAACAGACTTTTAAACAATTCTTAGTGTGGCTCATTAGAAACTACATGGGGGAAATCATCATTCTAAAATAAAAGATGTAGAGACATAAATAGAAAGGGCTTTTAATTAAAAATCACATAATCAAAACCATAAAATAATACAGTGTTACACTGGATAACCCAACCATTAAAAACTGAAAGCCTAATAACTACTTAACAGTTTGCTCCGTTAACTATTGAACTCTATTCAGCAATTACTGCTATATTTTGACAAATTCTATGTGAAAAATCTCAGTATCATGGACTGACCATGATGTGCAATTAGTACTGGTCTGCAATTCTCTTTGCAGACTTGGAGAGGGGAACAAATAGCTGTGTAAGATAAGGGAACACGTTTCATGCTGATCTGTGGGAAAGCTGTGATATACACAACTGACACGTGTAACTCTGTACATTCAGACTAACAACTTCCCTTTCCCTAAAAACATAGGACTTCATGCTCTTGAGCCACAGGACCAAAGCCACTTGAACATAGCACAGGTATCTCCTCCAAGTGGCTGTACATAAGTGCAAGGCAATTTGACCATACGGGACCCAGAAAATTCTGCAAACTATGGAGTAGATTCTTGTTTATGATGTTCAGTAGCCTGATGCATTCAAGCAGCTTCAACTAAATTTGAGTTCAGCTTATTACATTTGATTTCAATCATCACTATACTTACTTGACAGCCTGGCAAGCCTGTATCTCTGCCATACAAAGGAAACGGACCTCTGTCTGAGGTTTTGCCTAAAAAAGAAAGACATTGGAAATGAGGTTACTTTTAAAATCTGCTGGAGATCCACATCAGTTGTCCTTATATATGCAACTCAGAAAACCTATTAGCATTGCAGTAAATTTACAAACATTAAGGTGCATGAATACAAGCAGGCTCTATACACCTGTGTTTAATCCAAACAGCACTACAGTAATAGGTGGCATACTTACCTAATTAAACTCCTTACATAACCAACCAGATACTATAAAATATCCCTGTTCAGTACATTTAAATAAAAAAGGCAAAGTTCCATCTTAATTTCCATTATCAATGAGAAAAAGTAGAGACACTTTTAGACATTTCTCTGTCCTACATGAAACTAACTCTTAGCTGCTATCCATCTTTGGCAATGAATATACTAAGCAGTAAAATAAAACCCCATGAAAAATAAACAAAAACTTCCATTCACAACAAGAAAACTCACACCAAACTTAAACCATGACGGAATCATTCAGCTCTTGACACTCATATCTTAAATTCTTAAAAATCTTTTTGTCTCATGTACAGATCAGTCAGAAAACTCAGGCAAGCCAACTGGTCAGGACAGCAAAACAGCCTTTTTTCTGCCTTCAGTGCGACCTTTGCCTGCAGGTAGCACCCACAGAACACAGTGCCTCATGCACGGTGCTGCCTCGGGATGTTGCTATCCGAGGTCACAAGACATCAGCAATGTATTTGTGCAGGGTGCTGCCTCGGGATGTTGCTATCTGAGGTCACAAGACATCAGCAATGTATTTGTCAATCCCAGGAAAACTACTTAGATGTATTGGTTAGATATGCCATGAAAATGGCATGTTTGTATATTAAAACTCAGTGTGAAATGTCACCAGTAGAGCTCAAAAGTTTATCAACACTCTTCTCAAGAAGCCTGTCGAACAATGCCAAGCATCAGTCAAATATGTGCATAAGAGAAAATACCAAGTGCATGGGCCTGCCCTAATTATGAGACAGAACTCCAACACCCTGTAACACCTCTCAGAGCCTTACCCAAAGGTAAGCACTAACAAACCTTATTTGCCTGTTTGAAAATGAATGCTATCTTACCCAACTAGACATTCCCTTTTCTAAACAAATGCCTGTGTTATCTAGTCCTTGTAAGAAGAAAAAGTAGCCTTTCGTATACTTTCCCATTTAGTGATAAATAGCTCCGTGCTATTGCAGTTGTACTTGTAGAACATGGCTTCATTTGCTTTTTTTGATTTTTCTGTTACTACCAAAAATCCCTAAATGACGTTTCATAAGAGAAAAAACTAAAGTATGCTTATTGTTCATTTTAAAAATGCATCTTGTGTAAGCAGGGAGGAAGAGGAAGTTTGAATCTCTTGGAACAACATCTCTGCGAGATTATCATCTTGAGAACTACAGGTAGCCTGGTCAACAATAGTTTGCTTGAAAAATGGCAGGTCTGCTATAACAAAGGGAGGAAAAAACTTCACATTTTTCTGCTGAAGCAATTTGCCTTTAACAACTATCGAGCACCAAGCAAATAAAATACCTAGCATGCAAAATTATAAGTGGTAGGATGAATCATGCTGTTCATATTAAACCAGACTCAGCATTTTCTTTCCAGAAAATGAGAATCTTATACCACATGATAAACAACTTCGACTGAAGTATGCAGTATTCCAGGCAGGCTTTAAAACAAATATTTGTGCAAGAGTCAATTACAGAGGCTAGAAAAATTATGATTTAAATTATGGTTTGTGTAGCAAGCAAGAAATTGTTAGATAAGAATGCATAAAAATCATGTTATTTAAATGTTATAATTTTAAAAACTTTGGCAGGTCCATACTAAAGGAAATAACCTTACTAGAACAGCCCAATCCATAGTAAAAGTGACTGACAAAAGCCAAGGCTGCCTGATGCTACACTGCCTAAATACCTACCAAAAATTAGAGGTGGAGCAAATTACTGCACAAATGTCTAAGATTTTCAACAATGGGTTTGGAAAGCAAACGAGGATCAAGTATAAGAGGGTCCCTGTCACAGAGAGGCTCCCAAACACATTCCCAGTGCAAGCACTTAGACATCACTCAAACTGGCTATAGTGTCACAATGCTAAAGGTACAGATTTTATAAGAACAACATAAATCAACAGGCACACACTACAGCAACACACATGGAGCCCACAATCAAGTTCTGCCCCTGGTTCTCTCGTGTACTGTGGAACTGCACCCTATGGTCCCTTTTGCAGGGCTGGAGCAGTGCTGGCAGCAGCACCTTCACATTCACATGGCAGAAGGATGGGACAGAGAGGTGAGCCATCCTGGGCACCATCCGAGCACATCTGTGCTCTTCACTGGACTCCAGTGAAGCCCCTGAAGCTTCACTGATGATACATCAAAAAGCTTTCCCAGCATTGTGCTGTCTGACCATATCACAGGATGGCTTCACTATCAACACAACACAAAGTGAAAGAGCACAGACTGCAAACTGCCTGTTGTCATTTCAACACACTTCAGCTGCTCCAGCCCAGGCATGATGCTACTCTCACTATTTAAAGCCTTGCAAGCAAATGTCACAGGTTACATTTACTTATCAATAGAAGAACAAAATACTTAGCAATACATCGAGTATTTGAAAGGTGGGTAATGTCAAGTTTGGGATGATGATACTCCCTCATTGGTTTAACAAACAGGTAGGTCTCATGCATAGTCTCTGATCAACACATGGGCAGTCTCTGGTACCCAATAAAGTTCAAACCCATGGCCAAATGTATCCAAGCAGAATCCCTTTAGTGATATTTAGCTTATGAAATACTCTTCTTATTCAGACTCTGTACAGAGGGACAGAAGAGCATAAAAATTTAGAGGTTACTGTAAAAAAACAAACTTAGTGGGGTCCCAGTGCTTACATGCAAAACTTTAAAACAGCATGCAAACTTTAAAACCACAGTGAGACTGAAAGACAAAGCAGACCCTGAAATGTCTTGCAGGTTTACCCCACAAGATTTGCTCTTGAGGATGTTATAAACTCTATCACATCTTGTGTCAGTCAGTGCCCACTACACAAATGGCAATAGTATTTTTTCATTACAGCTGAAAATTCAAACATTAGTGCTCAGCATTAAGAGGATGTAAGGAAACTCACTATGGCATCTGACATCAACTGGAAGGAGGAGAGGAGTCTGCAAAAACACTATTAAATGACAAAATCCTTATCAAACACTTCCATTTGCACGTTTGTGTAGACACAGCTCTAAGGCACTGTGTAGACATACCAGCTGGGAAGGTGAAGCAGATACGCAGATGAGATTTATTTGCCCCTCAGATCTGATATCATCACTACTCACGAGAAGTAAAGCAACTTTGGCCAGTTTTCTCAGCCTGAACATTTGCCATCAGCCCTGTGCAGTAGGGCTTCCTATGTAAGGCTCCTAGGAATCAACAGCTCCCTGATCAACTTTATTATGTTCTTCCTAACTCATATTTCAAAAGTTAGATGCTATCATTTTAGAAGTAAAATCTATGCCTTCATCTACTTGCTACCTAACAGGCTTAATAGTCCAAGGACTATGGAGTTAAAAGAAACCCAATTGAGAAAATCCCACTAGGCACTCTGAACCATAAGTATTTCCCAAGTGTGTAAAATTAAAACCTTGACACATTCTGTACCAATTCAAACATTAATAGGCATTTAGTAAATACTTATTTTTCTCTTACAATCACTTGTCTAAATGTGATATACTCACAACTTAATATAGCTTTTGAATATCACAGAAGGAATTGTCTTCCTTAACATATCTATGTGTATAACAGCTGTGCAGCCTAAATACTCTTAACACAGAAGGAACTGAAACAGCAAGATGCAAAGTGATAGCAAGCTGAAAACAGCACTGCATTAGCTCAGTTGAGGACTACTTCAGTGAATGTGCTATAAATGCCTGCCAGTAGTAAAACAGCCTTTTCCCACTGCTTCCAGATAATGCTTGGTTTATGAGAAGATGACAGAACTCTCCAAAAAAATTACTTCAATTCTCACAGAATTAACCCTTTACAGACTCAAGATCTTCCTGTGCATTGCTGAGAAGGTTTGGTTGGCAATAGGGAAAGCAACAAGATTTTGTAACGAAGCAATGTTTATCAGCCAGTATGAATGCCATAGTGACCACAGCTGGCAGCTGCTCTGTTTGTCAGACATGAAGTATGTCTGCCCTACTTGTACAGAGAATCTGCTTTCAGTAGATCTTGAGGCATGTTTTTACAGCTCCCAATCAACATTTCATCACTGATAACACTGTTAACCTGTCCCAACAGATAGCCTACCCAAAAGTCAGTTTATACCAAAACATTGTTGACACCTCTGAGAATCTTTTTTCTTTTAAAATTATTAAACTGGTGTTGGTAATTTGGCTAGAAATCAATTTTTATACTGCTTACTCCCTCTCCACACCCAGCAAAGTACGTGTCTTTGTTACCCACAGAATGAATGCATTCAAATAATTTTTAATATGCAGATCCAATATAACAAGAAACAAGCTGCACAAGCTACACTGACAGGCACATAAAAATGATGCAAGAAAATAATTCTAAGTAAACAGTTTCCTACTAACTAATATCACTTTCCAACTCAGCCCAAAGTAGAAAGTACACAAGGTTTATAAAATAAGATCCTTGCAGGTCCGTTCTTTATTTTTTTATTTTGCTGGTGTTAAAAATTCTTATTTAGCAAATTATTCAATACAACAGGAAAAAAAATTATGTTTGATTAAAACACAAAACCAGCCCTGCTCCTAGGACTTGGTGTGTTTGTCTTCCTCGTGCGAAGACTGACTGACACATGCAGCCATCAGAATTTTTACTGTATATCCAGACATTTCCCACAGCACCAGAGGAATCATTTCTTCCTTTTCTACTGCTATATAGGTCTACTCATTAATAGAGGCTGTCACAGTTTTAGTATCTGTCATACCTAAAACGTTCCCTCTAACATTTTAAAGATACATAAAGCACACATGTCTATATTGTGAATC